CCCAGCTACTTGGGAGGCTGAGGCAAGAGAATTGCTTAAGCCCAAGAGTTTGAGGTTGCTGTGAGCTGTGATGCCACAGCACTCTACCAAGGGCAACATTAAGACTCTCTCTCAAAAAAAAAGTAGGATTCTTTTATTATTATTATTTTTTGACCCGGCTGGGTTTGAACCTGCCACCTCTGATATATGGGGCTGGTGACCTACTCCTTTGAGCCACAGGCACCACCCAAAAAAGTAGGATTCTTGAGAAAGGAGGAGGTATATGCATTTGTAGAGTGTTCCCCGCCAGGTACACTCTGCTCACATTGGTCCTTAACAATGCAGGGAAGGCCCAGGCCAATGAACAGCGGTACAGCAAGCTAAAGGAGAAGTACAGCGAGCTTGTTCAGAACCACGCTGACCTGCTGCGGAAGGTAGGACCCTTGGCCCCACCTCTTGCCAGCCTATAGACCCTGCACCACCCCTGGGGGAGACAACAGCTTAGGCCTCGTAGCTTCTCAAGATTCTGCAGCCCCACATTTCTAGGGGGTTGCCACTAATTCTTGGGCTTCCCCTAACCCACCATCTTCATTATTTTATAAATACCTGAGGGTCAAGTATCTGAAAGTGACAGCTTCGTTCTGCTTCCCTCTGGACAAGAAGGTGATTCCCTTGTCCTACTCCAGGGCACTCCCACTATGCATGTGCTCATTTGTCCTTTAAGCCTGAAATCAGCTGGTTCAAGACATTGTTTTTCCCTTCCAGAATGCAGAGGTGACCAAACAGGTGTCTATGGCCAGACAAACCCACATAGATCTGGAACGAGAGAAGAAAGAGCTTGAGGACACCTTGGAGCGTATCAGTGAGCAGGGCCAGCGGAAGGTGAGCGGCAGAAGTACTTGGGAATCAGAGAGCATGGTCTATCAAGTTGGTGGTGGGGCCTTTGTGGTCTGCTCTGAGAGAGGTCGCACAGAATAGCAGGACACAGTCACCAATGTACATACAGGTTAGGGGCACAAAGCAATGGAAGGACCCAAGTTGAGTAGGGTAATCCACAAAGGCTTTCCAAGTGTGAGACTCAAGGAGAGTTTCAGGAAGGGGAAATATGGGGACAACAGAGAGAGGCGAGCATTGACAAAGACCTGCAGGTAGAAGGACACTGTTATACGGGGGTGGGGCTGGCAGGCAGGTCAGACAGAGGCTGAGAGGCCCAGCAGAAGATGTGGACTGGACGAAACTAGATGTCTTGAATTTAGAAGAGTGGCTTACACATTTTTCTACAACTCCACATTAAAAAGAAAAATCTCGTGGATATTAAAGTTTCTCCAAGCAATACTTACCTTAACATGTGAATTCATTTGGATATTTTCTGTTCTGTTTAAGCCATTGTTTTAAAATGCTAGCTGTGAATTCTTACTAATGGTTCCCAGCCCGCTTTTTGAAAAACATCACTTAGAAAAGAAAGCAAAGGAGTCATCTCAGGTGTTGCCGGTAGCTCAAGTGGCTAAGGCTCCAGCCACATACACCAGAGCTGGTGGGTTGGAATCCAGCCAGGTCTGCCAAACAATGACAACTACAACCAAAAAAAATAGCCGGGTGTTGTGGTAGGCACCTATAATCCTAGCTACTCAGGAGGCTGAGGCAAGAGAATCACTTAAGCCCAGGAGTTTGAGGTTGCTATGAGCTGTGACTCCACGGCTCTCTACCCAGGACTATAGCTTGAGGCTCTGTCAGCTCAAAAAAAAAAGAAAGAAAGAAAAAGAAAAGGAGTCATCTCAAGATGGTGAGATGTTGTAGTTTTGTAATACACCAGGTGTTGTAATGTCTAAATGAAAGAGCCAGTTTGACCAGAAGATTATAGACTCAAGCATGACATTGGGAAATGTCCCTAAAATTCTTCCTTTGACATTCCTCTTAGCCAGAAGTTGACACACACTGGGGTCTCACCTCCTCCCCACTATCCCCCAACCCTCATCACTTTTTGTGGGGGGTATAACTTACAAATAGCAGAATTCACAAATTCCTTGACTCTCAGGTATTGATATCTTAGGCAGTTTTTACTTTTGAATATTTCTTACAACACCACCCAGGTTAGAGTCCTCTTGTTTTTCTTCTCTTTCAGACTCAAGAACAGCTAGAAGTTCTAGAGAGTTTGAAGCAAGAACTTAACACCAGCAAAGTAGAGCTCCAGGTCCTCCAAAGCAGCCTAGAAACTTCTGCTCAGGTGAGCAGCTCCTTTTCTTGCTTCCTTTTGACTTTAGTGTTGCAATCACCCTGAATCCTGCATGTGGCCATGCTGGCCTCAGCTGCAGTGTCCTGGGGAGAATGAGAATGGCAGGTTAAAGAGATCCCCTCCTGTTCCTGTGGCCATGTGGTGAGTTGGGCCTCTGGGAAGGGGACAGTTTAATTCATCCTGCGTCTCCCTCTTCCCATTGGGTCCATGTTGTAGTCAGAAGTAAAATGGGCAAACCAGATTACTGACCTGGAGAAGGAGCGGGCCAACCTGGTGAGTGCTGCAGTTTCTCGGGAGAAGGAATTATCTGCCCTCCAGGAACAGCTAAAGTACACCCAACTCAAACTGGCCAGTTCACAGGCAAGTGGCGGATGCCCGTGGGTGCTGACCACCTACAAACACACACCAGTGGGCTTTAGTGTATGTACAGAGGCAGGCGGGGACAGGGAGGGTGCTGTGAAGGGGTTGGAGGCCTTGGCCTGATGGTGAAGGCCTTCTGTAGGGCTAGCTCCTGCTGCCAGTATGCTCTGTACCACTTAAAGGGAAGCAGACTTCTCGGGAAGTTTGACAGGAGTGATAGTTGGTTATTACAGGAGTGATAGTGGTCCTTTCCTGGAGCCAGTAATAGCATACACCTATGGACCAAGTAAAAGTGTTTTTGTCAAGCTAACTGGCTCAGACCTCATTAGCAGCAACTTAAGCTAAGGTGCTAGGAGCCCCTACCAGGTCACAGGTAGATGCTGTTTGGGCTCATTTTGGGATCTAGGGCAGACTCTTACCACCCTGAACCACTTCTAGGAGTCTGTACACCAGCTCAAGAAAGATCATCGAAAAAGGGTTCTGATGGAGACTAGGAAGGCTGCGGAGCAAGTGATACAAGAGGCCCTGAACCAGCTTGAAGAACCCACTCTCATCAGCTGCGCTGGGTCTGCAGGTACTCTTCTACCTGCCCAACTTGCAGGCACCAGGTCCTTATAGCCTGATGCTAACCTGTCAGCATTGAATCACATGTGAAACTTAGTTCAGGGGTCCTCAGCCCAGCCACATGTCACAATCCCCTGGATTAGTTATGGGCAGAACAGGGCCTGAGCAATAGCATCTTCTAAAGCCTTTAGGTGTGATAACCACTGCTTAAATCAGTGGGTCACATTGATGAAACGTCCCTTAGGAGCGGACCCCTGAAACAATTGTGAAAGCAAATAGAAGAAAGAGCAGACAGTCCTGTGTATCTCTGTAGAAAAAAGACTATGGTCTGAGTCAAGATGTAGTTATTCATAAACTTCAAGTCTGGGCAGGGAAGCATCAGAAAACTTGGGAATGGCAGCAACAATAAAAATCCCAGCATAAGCTGGGTACAGTAACTTACATGCCTATAATCCTAGCACTTTGAGAGGCCAAAGCAGGTTTTCTTACACCTGGAGTTTGAGACCAGCCTAGGCAACATTGTGAGACCCCATCTCTGTAAAACAATTTTTAAATGATTAGCCAGAGTGGTAGTATGCACAGGTAGCCCCAGATGCTTGGGAGGCTGAGGCATAAGGATCCCTGGGATTAAGCCTAAGAATTTGAGGTTGCAGTGAGCTCTGATTGTGCCACCATACTCCAGTCTAGGCAACAGAGCAAGACCCTGTTTCTAGAAACAAAAACAAATTAACAAAGAACACCCAGCATGACCAAGAGGGAAATGGCCCACCATGTTTTATGCATGTAGGCAAGTCCCAAGGAAAGGGGAGGACTTTGTGCACAATAGAGGGGGAGCATCCAGGCACGGGTGGGGGGCGGGTTGTGAGTCTGTGGACATGGCCATGAGCATATCTCATTACAGTTCACTTTCAAGAGAAGGACCCACATCGGAAAAGTAATGAGAGGCCCCATCGAAAGATGAACAGAAGACAGGAAACAGCTGACACTTGATTTTTATCATCAAATTGAAAGTTCCTGATTTGATGACGTATACAGCAAGGACTATTATAGGTTATTCAGCAGGGAACCCGTCTGTAAAGAAAAAGCAGTTACAAATGAAAGACCTCTCAGGGTGCCTAACTTCCTGAGGGAATGCCAGAAACTGCAGCACTCGTGGGTGGATTCTGAGATGTTATGAGCTGAGTTTTGAAAGAAGACAGTTGTGAACCAGTGAAGAGAAGGAAAGGTGGGGAGTGAAAATAATAAAAACAGCTGACATTTATTGAGCACTTCCTGTGTGCTTTACTAAGGGCACTATCCTAAGCGCCTTACATTCCTGGGCCTGGCCGGTCCTCCCAGAGTCACCATGACATGGTCCTGCTGTTCCCCTATTTGCAGATGAGGAAGCAACCTGAGGTCACACAGCCAGGAATGATAGAGTGGGGAGCCACGCCTGGGCAGTGGGACTCAAGAGCCCATATTTCCAACTCCTACGCTGTATGTTCTCTGTGGAATTGTGGATGGAGAGGCATGGCAACGGGAATGATTGTTGTGTGCAGAACATGATCATAGACTAGCCTAAGAGAGCCAAGGGTCTGGGTTCAAGAGCAGTGAGACTAAAAGGGCCTTGGGAGACATCACAGCAAGGCCCAGATTTCATGAGACAGGCAGTATTGAGAAAGGCCCACCATGCAGTTGCCCTGATTTCTGGCTGAGGGACCAGACAGGCTCAGAAGTCTAGCTTTTGAAGCTCCAGTAAGAGAATCACATTTATCACATCAGTCACAGCACAGGCAACAATCTCCCTTCTCTTATCTTAGGGCAACTTCTATGGGGCCGGGGCCACTCACTCAGTAAGATCCTCCAACCACCCTGCAGCTTGACTATTAACTAACAAGGATGAGGAGAGTTAGAACTTGCTCTGGGGGCAGTGCCTGTGGCTCAAAGGAGTAGGGCGCCAGCCCCATATGCCAGAGATGGCAGGTTCAAACCCAGCCCCAGCCAAAAACTGAAAAAAAAAAAAAGAACTTGCTCTGAATTTGCCCTGTCTTCTCTTTCACAGATCACCTTCTCTCCACAGTCAAGTCTGTTTTTAGCTGCATTGAGCAACTGGATAAAAGCCGGAGCCAGTATCTGGCCTGCCCAGAAGGTAAGAAGGGTGCAAGACAGGCCAAATGAGGTTCAGAAGTACTTGAATGTGGGAACAGTGACAGGTTCCTATGCACTAAGGAAGGAAGTGTATCTAACTCGTATGGCCAGGGGAGAAAGAGGTATGAGAGTGACACCCCCAACTAGGCTGAGAAACTTTCCTCCTTACACAGATATCAGTGGGCTTCTCCATTCAGTAACCCTGCTTGCACATTTGACCAGTGACACCATCGCTCACGGTAGCACCACCAGCCTTAGAGCCCCACCAGAGCCTGCTGACTGTGAGTACCAGGGTATAAGGGGCTGTTCAGGAAAGCAGGGAGCAGAGGGGCCTTAAAAGTCTCTATCACTTTGCATCTCTAGCCCTGGCAGAGGCCTGTAAGCAGTATGGCAGGGAAATTCTCGTCTACCTGGCCTCCCTGGATGAAGAGGCCTCCCTGGAGAATGCAGACAGCACAGCCATGAGGAACTGCCTCAGCAAGATCAAGGCCATTGGCGAGGTACTTTCAGTGTTCTTACTGAGGAAGGTTCTTGAGTGTGAGTGCTGGTGCATTGCCAGGGAATCGGTGAGGTTCTAAGCTACTTTCTCCTATACTTACGATTTGATTCTATTTATTTTATTTTACTTTTTTTTTTTTTTATCTTTTAGAGACAGAGTTTTGCTCTGTCATCCAGGCTGGAGTGCAGCAATCATAGTTCACTGCAGCCTTGAATTCCTGGGCTCAGGCTATACTCCTGCCTCGCTCTCCCAAGTAGCTAGGATTACAGGTGTGCACCACCACATCTAGTTTTAATTGACTGTAGAGATGGAATCTCATTATATTGCCAGGCTGGTCTCAAATGACCCTGGCCTCAAATGACCCTCCCACCTTGGCCTCCCTAAGTGCTGGGATTATAGGTGTGAGCCACCATGCCTAGCCACAGCTAGATTCTAGAAAGAGAGAGTCAGAGATGGAAAATCTAACCTCCTGGTGGATGTTCCAGCTACATTTGACTGTTAACTGAGAATCTACTGTATCATTATCACTATTCCAGGTAATATCAAAAAAGTATAAGCAGTTTCACTATCTCTAAGGATTTTTATCTGGTTAGGCAGGTAGCACTTGAAATAGAGATAACCATGTATTTATTCATTTTAGATGTAGTGAATGTGTCCTATATACCAGAAATTGGGTTAGATGTAGTTATATAAGGACAAATGAGACAAGGACCATGTGGGGAAAAAAAAAAAAATAAGAGAATCAACCATTTCTATAAAGTGTGATAAGAAGTGTAATAGAGATCTATTTTAAGAGTATAGTACAAGTGCTGGGCATGGTGGCTCACACCTTTATTCCTAGCACTTTGAAAGGCTGAGGTGGAAGGATTGCTTAAGGTGAAGAGTTCAAGACTAATCTAGGCAACAGAGTGATACCCCATCCTTCCAAAAAAAAAAAAAAATAGCTGGGCATGGTGGTGCACACCTGCAGTTCCAGTTACTTAGGAGACTGAGACAGGAGGGATCTTGTGAGCCTAGGCAGTTGAGGCTGCAGGGAGCTGTGGTTACTCCATTACATTTCAGTGTGGGTGACCGGGGGAGAACCTGTGTCTAAAAAAACAGTACAGCTCAAAGTAGCATTTAATGAATTCCTAAAATGTGTGGTAATAAGTCCAGGGAAGGAAGAGCCAGGGCCAGAGTTCAGATCCTTTTCATCTCCCAGTTAGACTCTTTTTTTAAATTAAATCATAGCTGTGTATATTAATGCAATCATGGGGTACAATGTATTGGTTTTATATACAATTTGAAATGTTTCCATCAAACTGGTTAACATAGCCTTCACAGCACAGTTAGACTCTTAAAATGGCCTCTGATTAGTTTTTCTGCCTCTGTCCTCTTTCCTCTGCACTCTTCCCAAAATAGAGTTGTGATTATATTTTTTGCTCAATAACACAAATCAAATTAAAACACATGATGTTTTTAAAAATCATGGTCTTCGGCCAGGTGCAATGGCTCACCCCTGTTATCCTAGCACTCTGGAAGGCCAAGGTGGATGGATTGCCTGAGCTCAGGTGTTCGAGACCAGCTCTGAATCAGAGCAAGACTGCGTCTCTTAAAAAAAAAAAACCCTCAGCATTGTGACAGGTGCCTATAATCGCAGCTAGTTGGGAGGCTGAGGCAAGAGAATTGCTTAAGCCCAAGAATTGGAGGTTGCTGTGAGCTGTGACGCTATGGCACTCAACTAAGAGCGACAAAGCAAGACTCTGTCTCAAAAAAAAAAAAAATCATGGGCTTCACTATCAGTCAGAACTGTGTTACAATAGGAATAGTAACTGCCTCCTATGATTGGTGTGGAAGCAAAGTTAAATTAGAGTCAAACTGATTGGAAGATATCATCTGTATTTGGAAAAGTTTTAAAAATACCTACCACATACCAAATATAATTTATGCTGTGCAAATAGAGGCTGGGTTCCAAGCAGCATTGGGTAGATGGCCTCATGGAGTTAGGCAGCGACTTTCTGGACTTTCTGGAAGGAGGTGGGTTTTGAGTGAGGAAGAGCATGAGGTTCCGGAGTTCACATCATAGAACCATTTGAGGTCTGTTAAAGACACCCCTCCCCACAATCTGTGGCCTGCAGAAAGTGTTTGGGGGTGGGGTCCTCCTACTTCTGCCATCTTTTAAGGGTTATGGTCTACCAGAGGAGAAGAGAGGAGGCTCAGGGGTCATTTCAGCCTTTGTGATGCTCTTCACAGGAGCTCCTGCCCAGGGGCCTGGACATCAAACAGGAAGAGCTGGGAGACCTGGTAGACAAGGAGATGGCTGCCACTTCAGCTGCCATTGAAATCGCCACAGCCAGAATTGAGGTATGGCGGTTTCTGCAGGATCTCCTGAAGCGACACTCTGATGGCTGCACTTTGGCTACACTGCCCATTAGACTTGCATAGTCATTCATTATGGCTACAGAGGACTCCCTATAAAAGAAATCAAAACCTGAACCCACTGGCTCCTCTAAGAGATAGAAAATGAGAAAGCTCTCTGGAAGGAAGGTGAGCAGTTAACTCAAGGATCATACTTTGGTTTTAGACGATCCTGAGTTCAAGTTCTAAAATGATCACTTATAAGCTGTATAACTCCTATTAAGTTTCACTCACATCGCCACAATTCAGATTCCATTCCTATGTGATGGTAGTAATAATAATGCCTCCCCTAGAGGGCTATTGCAAGAGTTAAATAAGATTATGGACACTTATCTTCAGGCTAGGCACTCAGTAAATCAATGGTATCACTAATCAGAGGTAATGATTCTCTCAGCGAAAGCTAAGTAGAAACCATAGAGAAGGTCACTTTCGTGGAAGACTTGAGCCACCTGCCACGATGTGAGCACCTGGCATAGGACCTGGTAGGAGCTGCCCCTTTGATGTGGTGCTTTGGCTCTCAGAGTTCTGTGCATGTCAGCCTGGGTGCAGAACGCCAACACACTGAAGGGATTACAGCACCAGGCTGCTCTAGCTCATTCCACCTGAGCAGATTGGAGTCTGGATTCTTTTCCTGACTCTTGCAAGGATGTGGATGATAGGGATTTCTAGATTCAGGTTTCCCAGCTGCCATAGTATGTTGGACTCAAAATATGGTAAGACGTCAGTAAATTCTCAGTACTCGTGACGTATTTAGAAACCATGCTTCTTATTAACAGGAGATGCTCAGCAAATCCCGAGCAGGAGACACAGGAGTCAAATTGGAAGTGAACGAAAGGTCAGTGAGAGCGGCACGGTAGCATTCAGGGGAGTAGGAGCCATTTTCATTGCATAATGAATTATACTCCGCTTACCCGATAGGGAATTAGCGTAGAACATTAGAAGCCACGGGAAGGGTGCAGTCTGTGTAATTGTTGAGGACAGAATTGATGATGGTAGCAGGATTGTTGTTGTGTTATAGCAATAAAGAAATCCCAGGAATCATGACTTAATTATTCCTTATGAAGAAAATCCACAGTCACATCTTCTCATTCACCTGCTCCTCCTTCAGGGCTTCACCCCAGAGCATCCTAGCAAGCTCAGCGCCTTCCCTGCCTCTCTTTCCTATTCCAAGGTTGCCTTTGATTGGGAGTAAAAAAGATCTGTTGGCTTCATTGTTCTTGGTCTCTGTGTGTCCCTGACTCTTTTTGTGCAGGATCCTTGGTTCCTGTACCAGCCTAATGCAAGCTATTCAGGTGCTGATTGTGGCCTCTAAGGACCTCCAGAGAGAGATTGTGGAGAGCGGCAGGGTGAGTGTGGGCACGGGCCCTAGGCAGGGATAGCAGGCATGGGTGACAGATTCCCACTTCACTGCACTCTAGTGATACTGCCATCTTGTCCTGTTTGTCCACTTGAGGGTGCAGTTACCACTCCTGAGAACGTTAGCAGATGCCATGTGGAGAAACCTGGGCCCTGGCAACTCCCCATGGGGTGGGCCGTCCCAGATCCCAGATCCAGATCCCCAAGTCATTGGAACTTGCTGTGGAAAATCCACTTATATCTCCAAGTCTGGGCCCTCTGAGGAGGAAGGGAAGCTGGGCACATCCCAAGAGTAAACTTGATCCTGACTCTTCACAGGAGGCTCCACCATGTCTGGTTTCAACAGTTGGGCCAACACACTGTAATTCATAGACTCTGTTCTAGCCTCTGGTTGACAGGTCACTTCGTGTTCTCATGCCTTTGTTGGCATCACTATCATCTTGTTTTTCCCTCACATCCCTGTAATGCAGCCACAGCTTTGGATGTATAGGCCCAGGGAGGGAGTGATGAGCCTGAAAGCAATCCTATAAAGAGAACAGCCATGTCTGCTTTGATGGTACTTTTTATCAGATTGATAGGTGAGGGTTTCTATCCCTAAAATAGGTAGACTGAGTAACGAGTGTCTGCAGACTTTCAGACTACCAGACACTTCCAAAGCATAAAAACAGTTTTTAAAATCCAAATATAAGTAATTTTTGTGGACAAGTATGATGGCTCACACCTATAATCTTAATACTTTGGGAAACCAAAGTGGGAGGATGGCTTGAGGCCAGGAGTTCCAGACCAGCCAGACAACATAGCAAGATGCCATCTCCACATTAAGTAATTAGTAATTTTTAAAAATTATTCATTGCATACTCTCTTCTTTTGATAAATCAGGGAGAATAGCTAAATACTCTCAAATTATAACTTATTCATGTATGAACATATTTTTTTCTTATATATGCAATATAGAAGTATTATGCTATAATAGAAATGCTATATATAGGTTTTAGAGTCAGAAAAGTCTAGGACTTCCATTTATTTACTGTGTAATCTTGGGAAGAGACTTTCGTCCTTCTGAATCTTAGTTTTCTTATTTGTAAAATGGGGATAAAATAATGCTCCTGAGAGTTCCTGTGGAGATTATATGAGATAATATATATATATATAAAGCACTTGTCACATAGTAGGTGCTTAATAAAAGGTAGCTATTCTTAGTGTTGTTGTTGTTGTTTTTGCTCTCTAGGGTACAGCATCCCCTAAAGAGTTTTATGCCAAGAACTCTCGGTGGACAGAAGGACTCATCTCAGCCTCCAAAGCTGTGGGCTGGGGAGCCACTGTCATGGTGTAAGTTGTTTGTTGGTCCTAGGGCTCTTCTTCTCATCCTCTCATTCCATTGGTCCACGTCAAACAAAACTTTTTTCTAAGGGGAAAAACATTTGTCCCCTAGTGAATTGTTGATAGGAAATTAAAAGTTTGCAAGGGAGCCTTGGTTTCCGGGGTGACACAAGGCACAGCAGGCAGGCCCCCTCCTGTCTGGCAGGGCGATTTGGGTGGTCTGGATGTGGGGTTGTGAAGGTTGCAGCTTATCTGCAGTGATCTAGTCCATCTTGTCCTTTCCTGCAGGGATGCAGCTGATCTGGTGGTCCAGGGCAAAGGGAAATTTGAGGAGCTAATGGTGTGTTCACATGAAATTGCTGCTAGCACAGCCCAGCTTGTGGCTGCATCCAAGGTACAATCTGTGTAGGGCCTGGTTAAAGAGTACTTAGACAGTGGAACTGGCACTAAGAACAGATCATTTATCTAGGATCCAGGTGGGTTGGGTCCCAAATAACAATTCTGCTTCTTAACTGGTCCCATACCTACTCTAGAAGCCTTTCACCTATCAACCAGGAGGCCCTCTCCTCCACTTGCTATATACCTCCCTCCTGGCTCTGTTTGCTTCTGTTATAAGTGGCCTTGGAAGGTCCCAGCCATGCCAACATCTGATTAGCAGTCCCAGCATTCAAGAAATTCTCAAATAAGGAATAGGTTGGTTCAGTAAACAAGTCTACTTGGCTTGGCTCCAAGATTCCACGACTTCTCATTAGTCTTCTAATTTGAATCACTGCCCCACCTAATTCTGGTGCAAGGCTTATAACCAAATTCCTTTTAGGAGTTTGAAAGTACCCCAGTGAGTGTTCTTTATTAGTCTTATTTCTTGTCATCCCAAATTGCTTTCCACAACTGGGACACTCTATCCAAATAAGTGATAAAGCTAGAGCTTGGGGGCCACCATGCAAAACGCTGAGAATAATTTTTAATTAATATTACAGATGTGCTAGGAGCTGACCCACTAGGCAGCAATTTTTTGAAAAGGTAATTGATTGACAGCTATTGAGGATCACACATATTTGTCAAGAACCATCAGGCCAACTCTTTGATATAGTCCTTGCAGCTATAGGTGTTGGAGAAACATAAATCTCCTTTGTTCTGGCAGGTAAAAGCTGATAAGGACAGCCCCAACCTGGCCCAGCTGCAACAGGCCTCTCGGGGAGTGAACCAGGCCACTGCCGGGGTTGTGGCCTCAACCATATCTGGCAAATCACAGATTGAGGAGACAGGTAGCCTTCCAGAATGAGTGCTGTTCTATTCACTCTATTTAGCCCATTCTGTGCATTCTTCTCCATGATCCCAATTTCCCATAGTTCTGTTTCTAAATTCTTTCTTTCTATTTTTCATCCTTTTACATCTATACTTATGTTCCTATAAGGTAGTATACCACATAGACATGCTGTTTGCGCCACTACAGTAATGGGCCCTTAAGTAGGTTCTCTATTTAGCTATTTCTCTGGAGTTAGAGAAATAACTTGAGAAGCCTGGTTGCCCCTGGGGAGAATGGATACTGTTTACACTATAGCTACTTCATCCTTCCTTCCTCAGTTTCTTCCTCAGTTGGTAAGCCAGGCGTTTCAGCAGAGCATTGGCACTGGCCACCTCTCAGGTAAGTGTCAGCCAGGGGTAATATTTAACAATACTTTATTTCCATCCTTGCAGACAATATGGACTTCTCAAGCATGACACTGACCCAGATCAAACGCCAAGAGATGGATTCCCAGGTAAGAACTCTATGTCTAGGAAGTCTCTGTTGCCTGGACATTGACCCCCAGATATTATGCCTGTGGCAAGAAGCCAGAGAGAGAGAAGGACTTAGAGGGAAATGAACACAGCTACACCTGCTTAGCCCAAGATTCATTGTAAATGATGTTGGACGGGGAGTGGAGGTGGAGAGAAGTGGCTTAGTAAAGATCAAAATCTTAACTCTTGCCTGCTACTCTTGACCTAAGGCAGTGGTTTTCAACCTGTGCGTCGTGACCCACAGGAACTGTATTAAAGGGCCACAGCATTAGGAAGGTTGAGAACCACTGCTCTAAGGATAATCAGGGCCTTCTAGCAGTTCACAAACTATTACTTAATAGTCTCACTGTAGAGAATTTTTTTAAAACTTCTGGTATGACTTATTTGTGTATGGCCTTTAATTTTTAAAAAATATCAATTCCCTGACATTGAAACTTATCGAAAGCAATGTCATTTCTCTCTGTTGCTCAGTAAAGTTGTGTCATTCAAAATAGCAATTAGTGAGTTCCTAAAAAACACCTGACAACTTTGTTCTAGATGTATTAGTCATTAGTCTCAAGGTAAAAACAGATTGGGACTGTTAAATTTCACTCAGGATCTTTAGGAATAGTTATGTGGTCAAGCTTCTACCTCCAGAATGGAAGGGCTGTCTCATGTAGTGGCCTTACTAGTCCCTCTTGACCTTAAATTCAGTCTATATGCTGATAGTAACCCTTCCTGTCTACAGCTAAGATCTTCTCCTCAAGCCCTGTTCATATCTCCTACTGCCTGCTTCATATCTCCACTTGCTGCCCAATAAGTCTCTCAAGTGCAGTATGTCCAAAGAGGCCTTTCTGTGTCTCATTCACCCCACTTTGTCCCTTTCCTCATTTTTTCCATCTCAGTAAATTGCACACCTACCTGGGCATGGAGGAACTCCTTAGTTCTTCTTTTTCCCTCACCCTTCACCTACTTCCCTACCCTAGTCTAAGCCACACTGTCTGTCTCTTGAACTACTGCAAAAGTAACTTCTGCAATGTGTGCAAGTATTTGTGTCAAAATGATCCCATGGCAGAATTGGGTGCTGGGGAGATATCAAAGAGTCTTGCTGAAACAGAGCTGGCTGTGAGAGGGCGGGTGGAGAGGCTGGGGTAGAGTGTCACTGCACTTCCTCCCCATCCTTCTGTAGATGTTTTACATTTTCCTTAATGAAAAAGTTAAAAAAAGAACCACTCCACTGGGACTAGTTGCTTCCACTCTTGACCCTCGAAAGTCCATTCATTCTCCACATGATTTTTTTTTTTTTTTTTTTTTTGGTGAGACTCTTGTTGCCCTCAGTAGAGTTCCATGGCATCATAGCTCGCAGCAACCTCAAACTCTTGGGTTAAGCAGTTCTTTTGCCTCAGCCTCCCACGTAGCTGGGACTACAGGTGCCCACCACAGCACCCTGCTATTTTTTGTTGGAGCTGTCATTGTTGTTTAGCTGGCCTGGGCCAGGTTCGAACTCGCCAGCCTCAGTGTATGTGGCTGGCGCTGTAACCACTGTACTATGGGCGCAGAGCCTCCACATAATTTTTTTTTTTTTTTTATTGCAGTTTTGGCCGGGGCTGGGTTCAAACCGCCACCCCCAGTATATGGGGCCAGCACCCTACTTCTTGAGCCACAGGTGCCGCCCCTCCACATAATATTTTTAAAACATAACTCATAACGTGCTGCCTCTCTGCTTGAATCTTCCCAGCTTATCTCACGTACCTCTTCTCTCAGGCACATCTCACACAGGACTTCCTTCCTTCTCCCAGCACCTCAGCTTATTCCTGCCTTAGAGCCTTTGCTCTGGCAGTTTCCTCTGGAATGTTCTTCCCCATTAGGTTTCAACTCAAAAAGCCTTTGCTGTCATCTTTAGTCCGTGTCATTTTCTTTATGATCTGAACTTTATTTGTGCATCTATTTGTCTCTTTTCCTTTTTTTTTTTTTGAACCAGGGTCTCACTATGTCACCACTCGGTAGAGTGGCATGGCATCACACCTCACAGCAACCTCCAACTCTTGGGCTTAAGCGATTCTCTTGCCTCAACTTAGCTGGGACTATAGGTGCCCACCACAACACCTGGCTATTTTTTTGCTGTAGTTGTCATTGTTTGGCAGGCCCGGGCCAGGTTCAAACCCACCAGCCCTGGTGTATGTGGCTGGTGCCCTAGCTGCTGAGCTACAGGTGCCAAGCCGCCTTTGTTTGTTTGTTTGTTTAAAGCTAAATCTCACTCTGTCACCCAGGCTAGAATGTCCTGGAGTCACAGCTCATAGCAACCTGAAATTCTTGAGCTCAGGCGATCCTCTTGCCTCAGCCTCCCCAGTAGCTGGGACTGTAGGCACCTGCCATGATGCCTGACTAGTTTTTTTTATTTTTAGTAGAGACAGGGTCTCACTCTTGCTCAGGCTGGTCTTGAGTGCTCCCAGAGTGCTGGGATTATAGGCGTGAGCCACCTCACCCAGCCTATTTGTCTCTTTTCCTTACAAGGTAATCAAGGATCTTGTCTATCTGTTCACTATATCTCTAGCATCTATAATAGAGCCTAGGGTACATAATGGGTGCTCAGCAAATGTTTCTTGAATTAACAAAATAAAATTGGCTGTGCATGGTGGCTCTTAACCTATAATCCTAGCACTTTGGAGGCCAAGATAGGTGGATTGCTTGAGCTGAAGAGTTCAAGCCCAGCCTGAGAAAGAGTGAGACCCCCATCTCTGCTAAAAATAAAAAAAATAGAGAAAAAAACTAGCCAGGCATTGTGGCAGGCTCCTATAGTCCCAGCTACTCAAAAGGCTGAGGTCAAAGAGGATCGCTTGAGCCCAGGAGCTATGAGCTGTGATGACATCAAGGCACTCTACCCAAGGCAACAGAGTAAGACTCTGCCTCTAATTAATTAATTAAAATAAAATTGACAAGGAGTAGAGCTAGCCAAGGTCACCCCTTCTTTAGTAAGATTTTCGTGTCTTTTCTTATAGCAATAATAACCCTAAATAGTACCAACACCTCAGAGATACCAGAACCGTCATTTTTGGTTTAAGAGCTAGACCTCCAGGGAACTCGAATTAAAGAAGGGAACAGTAGAGTTTTTAGATAGCAACTTATCAGAAGACCAGAAGATAAGCCCACTTCCCACTTAGTATTTAGTTTGTAAGGCATCGTTCATTTCCTGTAGGGGGTCACAGTGAGAAAAACATGAGAGACACTAAGACAGACATGAATGAAGAAATGAGAGCAGAGAGTTGAAATTGAGAGCTGGGTAAGCTCTGGAAATAGGGGAATAATATAGAAGAAACCCGGAATGCAGAGGAACGGGGTTATGTCAAAAGAAGACAGGTCTCAGAGAGCTGATTAAAAGAAAATTCTACTTACTTTCCCCTTACAGGTTAGGGTGCTAGAGCTAGAAAATGAATTGCAGAAGGAGCGACAAAAACTGGGAGAGCTTCGGAAAAAGCACTATGAGCTTGCTGGTGTTGCCGAGGGCTGGGAAGAAGGTAAGCTGCCACTGAGGGCCACCTTACAGCAGGGAATAGGAGACTGGGGCTGGGGTCTTTCCCTCCAATACATTGGAACAAAGAACCCACTGAGTGGGTCTCTTCCTCCTTTTATTTTCTTTTCACAAGCCTGTTTTCTTTTCAGTTATAAACAACCCTTAAGCCTAGCACTGGAGTAAATTGTAGCAAATTGAAAGCTTTTGTCTTTACCTATCGAGGCCTAAATATTGCCCAGTGGACTCATCACTCACTTGAACTGCCTATTCCCACTCAGGCCCAGGTAGACTGGTTGACTCCCCAGGAGTTGAATTTCTGGCCAGGGTAGGGTTGAACAATAAATGAATAGTGGTCAGTGGAGATCCAGCAGACAGGAACAGATAAATTGCCAGGTACTCTATAGAGCCAGTGATGGACAACAATGGCCAAAAGATAGAAGAGATCAGGAATTGAGAAACAGTGGAGTGCAGTCATATTCAGCCTGCCAGCCCTGGGGCCTGCCATCCCCTGTGTCTGGACGTGCTGCTTTTCTTTGGGTCCGAAGTGGTTAATTTGATCCAAGACTGCTGACTTGACTGACTCTGGGCACCAACTGTGGATACATCCTAGTCTAGAACTTGGGAAATAGGTGATCATGCCATGGTTATGACTAGAACATATTTTAAAGTCCAATATGGTGGCACTTTTCCTCAGTTAAATGCATGCATGGATGAAGTGCTATGTGACATAAATTGTCCTTGTCTTTTAGGAACAGAAGTGTCTCCACCTGCACTGCAAGAAGCGGTAACCGAAAAAGAATAGAGCCAAACTGACACCCATGCGTCAGAGTGTAAATCATTGTTACCCATTTATGCGTTTGTTATTTCCCCAGCCACAGACCAAATTTGTGATATCCCCATGGCAGCCCTGCCACTCCCATTGCCCAGCTGAGGACCTGCATGATCCTTCTAAAGGCTCCCTCCACAGTGACACCCTTTCTGTTTGAACCCACAGTCTGTGTTCTTCCCCTGCCTCCCTAGTATCCAGGCCACCCCTGAGCAATCTCAGGTCCAAAGAGGAGGGGACAGGCCATGTACCAGAGAGGTCTGCCTACTTTTAATCCTCACAACAATTGGTGTCCTTATTAGAGGGGTTTCTTGGTGTCGTCAAGAGCTTGGAGAAGGACAGTCTTAAGCATTTTCTTTTCTGTTTTCTTCTTAGTCTTTTCAGTTTCATCATTTGCACAAACTTGTGAGCATCAGCGGGCTGGTGGCTTCCAAACCAGGACACTAGCCTGCATCTGCACAGTCAGAAGAACAGCAGGAGTGTCCTGCCGGAGACTGCCAAGGCAATGCTACCCCTCTTTTGGCAGTTCCTGGATTCCCACTGCTTCTTACGGTGGTCAGTTGGGTTTTTAGGTTGTATTTTTTTAAAGTCTCACTTACATAGCCAACTCTCCCAAAGGGCACATCCCTGGAGCTCTGAGTTACCTGGGGCCCAGCCCCACAGCAGTTCCAGCAACGGTGCTGCTCCGGCTTCACCTTGGTGCTCCTCCTCCACCTCCTGCTGAGCGAGGCCTCATGAGCCCAGGCCCGGCTCCGGGGCCAGCAGAGCTGCCTGGTAACAGCTTTTCCTCAGAAGGCAGCAGCAGAGTGAGTGCCTTTCTTCCCTAACGCTGAGCTCCCGCTGAAAGCCTCTGTCCAACCTTCATAAGTGAGAGGACTGCAGAAAGAGGGAAAGGAGGACTACACACAACCCATAAGGGACACCTTTCTTAGGAATTTCTGTGACCAGGCTCAAAAACCTTAACTTGTACTCAAACCAAACTGGTGAGAGTAACAACACTACTTCCCCTGGAATGAACTATCCATGTCATGTCAAGTGGGCCACTTCCCTTCCTTCCCAGGTTGGGCCCTGAGAGGAGGGAGTATGGGAGGGATCTCCAGCTCCTTTCTCCACATGTCTGCCTGGGCATCCTCTTGAATCTGAAGAAGATCGTTCCACTTTCTACCCAGCTGATAGACCCAGAAGGTCAGACACCCTTCCTCCCATCAGGAAAGAACCCTGTGTTTGGTTTGGTACCCTTAGTATTTATTACTAACCTTCTTTAAGCAGCAGCAGCCTGCAAAAAGATGCTTGGAGCATTCAGGACATCCTATGCGACTGTGGCTGTATTGCTGCCCCTCTGCATCAGCCTTCAAGAAGTGGACACGAGGCCAAGGGTGCCATCCTTGGGTTGTTACTGGCTTGGATCCCAAAGCAGGGAGGTCCTCAGAACTTGTGGGTCAGGGAAAATGAGAAAGGAGACTCCTTCCAGATAGACCTTCCAGGCTTCCGTTGCCCTGCGGACAGGATGAGGACAGAGGGCACAGGAACAGCCTCCTAGAGATAGGCAGCCTGCCAGCACTTTTCCACTTCCAGATGGATCCCCAGCATCTAAGTGACCTTCTGATCTCAGAAAAATGTCTTCCTTCTTTATCTCTAGCAACTCATTAGTAGTAGCCAACAAGCACGTCCCAGGACTGGTCCCAAAGGAACATTGCTAAGTTTTGCTACATGACGGGTTGTGAGACTTCTGTTTGATCACTGTGAATCAACCACCCTCTTCCTACCCCACCCCCTGACTCCCTTTCTCTGCATTTTCTAAGTGAGGAACTCAAAAACAATCTCCCAGGAGCCCAGATGGCCATACTCAGTCAGACAGGTGACCTCCATACTAGGCTAAGGAAGTGTCAGCAGTAAAAACCAGGCAATCTTAGGTTTAGTGCCACTTTGTGCTTAGCTAGCTTCCGTCCCATGGCTCAGAAGGAGTGATGTGTGGCATCTCTGTTCCATTTGTGCCAATTAAACTGATCAATGTATTCTCAGTGTGGGTCAGCACTTTGAAAAGTGGCTGGTCTTCACTTCTGGAGTCAAGTATAGTGCATTGGACCAGATTAAGATCTCTGAATAACACTCCTCTAAAAGGAAGCCACGATAACTTTAAAAACTTTCCTGGACTTAGCCTAAGTAATAAAACAGTTAAGAAAGCACTTAAATAGGAACACAGGCTAATTCAGTGTCACATGAGGAAATACCTGTCAGATGTGGTATAATTACTTTCATAATAGCTCAAATTAGAAATTATTCCCTTCTCCAACCAAAGTCAAATTGTCCTAAATTGTCCTTGGCTCTTCTAAAAATGAGTGTGTTATACTTACTGTGAAATACCTTTGATTAAAACAGGAATCACATCTTAAAGCTAAAAATGAACCTCACAGCTTTCTAAATGAGTCACTGAGCATCATTAGTGACCAATGTCTTGACATAAATGGGTCATGACAAGACACAATGGCAACAGAATTAATGGCTTAGGGTTACTATGAAGTTGAAATTCAGTTGCATCTGTTAGAGTGCTCTAATACCTCTAGAATATTTATATACATATTAAGGGGGAGGGGAAAGACCTTCCTTTGTAGGGGAGATTTCCTATCTGAGTAAGGAGTTTAAATTAGACTATAATTTAGATTGTTTGCCAATTCTGCCTACAGCAGTATCCCTAGGAGCCCACCTGAGTGTGAGTCCTTAACTCAGTGGCTGGAAGAACCATACATTGTCCAGAGCATCATTTCTTGGGGTTGTTTTCAGGTACCAAGTCAGACACCAAGGTTTATACCAAGTAATATGGGGTCACAAGCACATGTCACTTTGGTTATGTTAGTTTTCTTTGGCCTCTTACCCCTGAGGAAAAGCTGGTTCTCAGCTTGCACCGGGGAACTTCTCACTTCTTTATTGGCGCTTTAGAGGAGTCTACTGGCTCCACTTCACCCTGGTCTTTAATAACAAGTAAATGTCTTGCTATCTTCTACCACCTTTCCAAATCTCTGGAAATTCTTCCTGCCAATGAAAGCCTTCAGTCCCAACTTTGGCCTTCCGAGCAGACTGGCTTTGCCCTCTTTCTGCCATCCTTGGTTCTCCAGACTGCACTGCCTGTAGCACGCCCATGGGCCTGCCAGCCATCAATGCAGCAAACCAGGCTAGCTATTTGCTGCTCAATTCCTTCTCCCAGGTCCAGACCAAATACAGGATCAGCAACACAGTGGTGGCATCACACCTAGGAGCCAAAGCAAGGACAAAATAATTGGTTAGATGCTGTTGGTCCCAATTCTGAGAGCAGATTTTTCCAGACATGTCTTTCAGGTGACCCTCAACTACCTCAGGTTTGAAAGCCCTAACTTAAGCTGATTACAACTCATAGGGACAAACCGAGGGGGTTCAGTTAAAATCTTGGTGATAATGCAATTGTCTCAAACTTAGAACAGATTCTTTCACCTTGAGATTTGCAGGGATCGGGTTGGGTTTATTTTGTCTTTTGTTTTTAACCTGTCCCCAAATTTTTCATTAGGATAGTTCCTATAAGTGAATTTCATTTTTCACTGAGTGCCTACCTTCCCAGGGCAGGTAGCCACTGGCTTTGGTTTCCTTCCAATGATACTATTATGTTATTAAGACTTTTCTTTGTATAATATATTGCATCTGTGTTTTCAATTTTTCAAATAAATATTTCAGCCTGGCAATGGAGAGTCGTCATAATAACCAACCCACTAATGTGGCTCTGCTGTCCACGTTCCAGTGAAAAGCCTATGTGAGTGTCCTGAGGTTCATGGAATCCACTTAGCTCCGCACCTTGGGAATGTATCTCAGAAACATTAGTTTGCACTTCTTAAATGTGGCCTGTCCTCCTTGTACTCTATCTTGTCTGTGGGAATGATCAAACATAAAGTGCCAAAGTGGTCGATACTGTGCTTTATCTCAAAGTCCAGGTCTCTGCGTAAAATCTTAGGGCTCAGGTAAGTAAATACAACCTGTCACTTTAAAATTGGATGTGCCTAATTCTGCTCAGAGACAGAAGTTGCTAGTCATAAAGGGATTCAGAGCAGGCTAGTTGCAGCTACCAGAGGGAGCTGACAGAATGGATCTGGGCTCCATGGTGACCTTTCTACAGCAGGAGAGGCTGCAACCTAATGCTGCCAGTGTGTTAAGCCACAAGGACCTACAGGGGTGAGACACCAGTGGAGAAAGGCTGGGGTTGGTGAGCAGAATTGACCCAAATGGTTCATCAAGTAAGAGAATGAGGCCAGTAATCTGAAATTAGTGTTTGTAGCTAAGGAGGTCAAACAATGAGGAAAACAAGAAAGGAAAATAATTGTTGAACTCCCCAATGAGAAGATATGGATAAATATGGAAGATAAGGGCCAGGCACAGGGCTCACGCCTGTAATCCCAGCACTCTGAGAGGCTGAGATGGGTAGATTACCTAAACTCAGAGTTGAAGACCAGCCTGAACAAGAGTGAGACGCCTCCCTCAGCCCACATCTCTACTAAAAATAGAAAAACTAGCCAATTGTCAATGGCAGGTGCCTGTAGTCCCAATACTGGGGAGGCTGAGGCAAGAGGATCGATTGAGCCCAAGAGTTTGAGGTTACTGTGAGCTATGATGAACTGTGGCACTCTACCCAGGGCAAAGAAGTGAGACTCTCAAAAGAAAAAAAATATGTGGAAGATAGGGATATAGGCCTGCAGCTGGGCTTTTCTGCTTCCTATGGCAGAAAGCTAAGGTGAGCCAGCTCCATTTGAAGTACTACTGTTAGAATGGGCATTGCTTTGTCACTGGTCTCCTGCAGGTTACTCCCAGACCTCAAATGTGAAACTGAGTGGTCCCTAAAGGCAGGTAGCAGAACTTCATTGGGGGTTCTTTGCTCTGAAATACCTTTATTGGAATTTCCTAAGTCACTTCCTGGGGTGAGGGTCTGGCCTAGGCCAGCAGTGCCATCTGGACCGCGCCCTTCTCTTCCAGGTACATTGCACCCTCCACACGCCACCCACTTGTGACCTTACCCAGGTGGTTCCAGAGGTTCTGGTTCTCACACCTGAGGGGTCTTCCTGGGGTCCTGTAGCCAGGTCTCAGTTCTAGGAAGGCAGCCTAGCTAATGTTACTCTGGAGGAATCAGGAAGTCATGGCACCAGAATGATGCCTTCATGCCATTAAAAGAGGGGTGGGGAAGGAGAGCTGGGGGGCTGCCAGGGTAGAAAGGAACAAAAAGTCGAAATAGACAAGTAAGGTCTGAACCAGAGCATGTCACTGGGACACATTTTGTACAGCTGAAACTTAAAGCTGGCAAGCTTTGATCTTACCCTCGTTACCCTTTGCTTTTTGCACATTACCTAAAATACAGTAAACCTTTGACCATGACTTGAGAGTGAATGAATGAGTTTGCATTTGCACTGCATTTTTAGTCGTACGCTCATTTTATGCATCCATTCATTGTACAGACACCAAAATTGCCAACGATAAAGCCTTTATGTCCCCTGTCCTTAAAAATTACATTCACATATTCTGTTATCAAATATCCTATCAGAAACTGGGGATACA